GATTAGAGATTGTGGTTGATCTTAACAGAAGCTCACAAAGGCAATGACAAAGCTCCTGTATTGTGCAAGTGTTAGATGTTTTGGTGGTGATCATCATACACTTTCCAGTGCACATACCAGCGGGAGGGTGAATACATATCACACAGCATACACATAACTACTTTACTTATTGGAAACAAAATTTCTGACCTACTATGAACAGTTTTGTGTGAACGAAATTGTGCTTAATACAGTTTTTTCCTGTTGCTGATACTGGAAATGGTGGAGCCTTTGTTTTTGCATTGAAATGCCTTTTTTTTTTATTGAGCAATTGTGCTCTGTCAACTGACTCTACTCTTTGTGTTCAATGCATATTACCAGACCAGTCTTTTAGGGGGTTCCCTTTATTTTAACGTCGTAGATTGAATAATGCATTGACTGATCAAGTGTCCATTGATTGACTTCGGTGTTATTTGGTTGGCCATCCTGTAAAAATAATTTTCGTATAGCTAAGTGGCCATCTGTATATTGCAGGCATAATAAGGTGATTTATATCAATGCGCATGTCCCGGTATTTGCTGATATTTTTTTTCTTGTTGATTCTCATGGTGTAGTGGGAGTGTCATCTTCTGGCCTCTGTTAGCCTAGTTCTAATCAACGACTTATCTATTTCTTATTATATAAATGAAATGATCTTCTGAGTTCTGACCTTTGTTGTGCACCCAGAGATTATGCGGGTATCAAGCATTGCCCACAACCATGGATTTGGCGATTTCGACAGGCATCGGTTTAGGAGTCCTAGTCCGATGTCTTCTCCAAACCCTAGAGCTAATCTCCCTGGCAATGGGTTCAGTCCTTGGAGTGGACTACAAGAGGTAACACTTCATAATATATTTGCAATCAAGTGGGTGACTCTTCTGTACTTCATACACAAATCGATGTGCTTTTTCCTCTGGGAGTCCTGGCTCTTATCATTGATAAAGATGAACCACATATCTTCTTGTAACTGGCAATGATATTTCAGAGTCATAGTGAATTAATATGAAACGTACATGCAAGATGTACTGGCATTCATGTTCACATGCGTTAAGATGTGTGTGTGTTTTTGTCACAAATACTGATAAATTATACGCTTTTGCCTTTATGATCAATTCAAAAGATATTAGGTTTTCCTCAAGGAACTAGCATGGACTGGCAAGGAGCACCACCAAGTCCTAGCTCCCATGTTGTAAAGAAGATTCTTCGTCTGGAGGTTCCAGTTGATTCTTATCCGAATGTATGCCCTCCAACTTGTGCAGTTTCTCTTGAAGTTCACACACAAAGGAACCATTGAGCTGTTTTAAGCTTTTTGTTGATATATTCTTCTCTTCTGTCCCAGTTCAATTTTGTGGGGCGCATTTTAGGACCTAGAGGTAATTCTCTAAAGCGCGTAGAAGCATCCACTGGGTGTCGTGTTTTCATTAGAGGAAAGGGTTCCATCAAAGATCCAGGGAAGGTAAGAGAAGTTTCTGTTCTTTTTTTTCTAAACTAAAAGTTTCTGTTCTTTTTTACATCCAGCAAATTAAAGTCCTGTTGGTTATTTAACTCTCAGGCAAATATGTTGTTCGGGAGCCTTTGAATCCCAATTTGTTTTCTTGAACTTGTAATGCTGTGTCGAAGTTTCTTTCATGTGTCTAAACAGTATCTTTCCTATCAAATGTTCAGGGTTTCTCTGCAATATAACAATATTGTGCAATGTACTTCTATCCTGGCTTACCTATCACTCCCTTGCCACTAGCATAAATTTTTGTTCTTCTATCTCTATTTGATCCTGCTGATCAGACAGATGTTTATTGCTCTGTTTTTGTCTATTCCTTTCCCGTTTCTGATTCATTGCAACAAGCTTTACCTACATGGCTTTATGATTTTTTAAGGAGGACAAACTACGAGGAAAACCAGGCTATGAGCACCTGAGTGATCCGCTGCATATCTTGATAGAGACCGAGTTCCCTGCCAGTATCATCGATGCAAGGTTGAGACATGCACAGGAGATTATAGAAGAATTGCTTAAACCAGTGGTGAGTGATTTCTGATTTGTATGTATCCTGTTACTCTGTGTGCGCATCATATATCTATGTCTGCTAGATTATCGTATGACACCCCTTCCTGCTGCCCATTGGAACATGTTTGTACCTCAACTTGGGAGATTATTTTTGTAAGGCTAGGCCTTATTCTAAGAAAATATCAATTTAAATGTGGGACAGAGAGTTTAACATAATATAGTTTTTTATAGAAAAAATAAAAAATGTGAAGATCCTTTTGACTTGCCACATCATTCGTGCCTAGATGAGAAAAAAAACGCCTTTGACTTACCTACTAATTCACACTTTTCACATAACTTTTTTCTTGAACTCTGCCTACCGTTTATTGATCTGATTCTTTTACTTGTTCTATTCCGAATCTGAACCTTGTGTATATATTTTTACATGTGTATAATTGCTTCTCAATTATTGGAAAATTCTATAATATTTGTTTGCACATACGACTTACGCGATCATATTGGTATCTTCTGCAGGATGAGTCCCAAGATTTCTACAAAAGGCAACAGCTCAGAGAGCTGGCAATGCTAAACTCAACCCTGAGAGAGGACAGCCCTCATCCTGGGAGTGTCTCTCCATTCAGTAATGGTGGTATGAAACGTGCGAAAACAGGCCAGTAGAGGAACAACTATGCTCTCCTACCTGGCCCCGTCCAGGTGTGTTATGCCGTCGTCATGGGAAACGCCATGCCTTCGGGCAATGTTTGCCATGGGCATGCGTGAAGGAAGCAATGTGCCTTCACTAGCGGAGTCCGGTATCAGCTAGTTTCCACCTCCGGACAGGGGAAACTGCTGGGAAGATGAGGTAGTCGCGGATCGTTGGTTGGATCCAGCGTTGGTTGTTGTATGGTCTAGAACATTCGTTCTATTTGTTATTGACGGTTAACCCTAGTATGTGGTGGTATGCTGTTGAACTGCAAACTGCATGATAAACTAGAGAGGCCTGAGTATGTGAGCTTTAGGTGCTTTATTGACCTTGCATTATAACCTTTAACATTATGGAGTTGCAAAATAAAAAAAAGGACCATCAGCTTGGTATACCTTATGGTATCTTGTTTGCTCACAGGGACCGTGAACCTAAATTCCTGAAATGCCACAATCCACGATTTACTATGCCTGGTACTCCCTCCATTCTAATTTATACGATGTTTTGATTTTTCTAGATGCATGATGTTTGCTATGCACTTAGATATACATCATGTTTAGATATATAGTAAAATGTTTAGATATATAGTAAAAGCAATGTATCTAGCAAATCAAAACATCTTATAATTTGGAACGGACGTAGTAGTTTACATGATATCATCCTTTGTTCTTCACTGTAAGATCCACATTATTGTAAGATCCACATTATTGGATCAATTTCAGCCTTTCAGCACGTTTTGAGCCGATTCATTCAGGGATGTTTGGCTCCAGTCAATTATATTTGTGTAACATGGACTGCGAGATGTTGTTGGCTTCCTGGGGCACAGGAAGGCAGTGGCGCTCTGACGGCGATAACGATGGCTGGTATGCAACGGCATTGGTGTTGCACAGCACAGGGCATGGTCCGAACAACTGTAGGCTCTGAAGACCTTGGGTCATGGACTCAGGCCTGGCAGCCCATTATGCAAACTGTATTGTGTCCAGCTGGCCAGAAACTTGTCTGCTGAGGTTTCTGTTCTGTTCGATGCTTGAATCAGGTGAAAACGAAACTTAGCGAATCACACTCCATGGACAGGGCCCAGCAAAGGCAGTAAAATAAAATCTATCTCGAACAAGAGCTGTATGATACAAGATGCATATACAGAAGAATCAATGACAGCTCTTAAGATAAATCAAAATCTATCTCAAACTACTGAACTGTAAATAATATCAAGATATATATCAGAAGAATGTAAGCTGTAGGCGCTCTCAAGATCAATCAACCATCATTTCCTGAAGCGCAATATGAACAAAAACTGATGTTTATGAAAACAGATATTTAATAGACCTCGTGCAGGTATAATACCTCGTGCAGGTCAAAGTAAGGCAAGTTGGATGCGAGGTTTTCTCAAGATCAATTGACAATCATTTCGGAAGCGCAAATCATGAACAAGATAAAAACTTAATTTCGTCTAAACTGTGTAATGTTTATTTTTTATTTATAAACAGATATTTCCAAAATAGACCGAAAAATCTTAGAATTTAATAGACCTCGGAAGGTAAAAGCACTAACAAGCACTGAACAACCGTCCCTATATATATATAGAAAACAGATGATACAGACGTACGTGCGTATGTTAAAGAAAGCTCCACAAAACATGCTTATCTCAGCAACCACACACCAAAACCTTTAGTTCAACCCCGCAGGCCACAGCCAACAGAAAACAACAGTATTCTGTATCCCAAACGCGCCAAACAAAGAAAACATTTCCTTCACCATGGCACCAAGAAGCAGAGCAGTTCTAGAAGGGCACATGCTAATTATGCTGAATGACCAGACCTTATGCTGTAATTTAAATAATCATAACATAAGATGCAATTTGCTTAGAACTCTTCATATAGCGCAGAAACTAGAAAGTGAATATGTACCAAACAGAGGGTTTCGGCAGATTATTCATCCAACAATCAGAAGTGATCTGTAAACAGACACCTGCCAAATCTGTAACAGACATCTACCAAACAGAAGAGACTGGGAGTTTACAGACACCTGGTGTGGTAAACAAAAAGAGACTAGTAGTAGCAGAACATTATTTGACACCTGCTAAATCTGTAACAGACATCTACCAAATAAAAAAGAGACTAAGAGTTTACAGACACCCGCCAAACAAAAAGAGACTAGGAGTAGCAGAACATTATTAATATAAAGATGCAGATACTAGGAAGTAGTGATTGAACACGAGGGATAATCCGGATATGACACCAAGAAACAAATTCTATGAAGCCATTGAATGTAAGAGGAACTATGTCAAACAAAAACAGACTAGGAGTTCACAGACACCTGCCAAACAAAGAGACTAGGAGTAGCAGAACAAGTAATGATTGAACACGAGGGATAATCCGGACATGACACCAAGAAACAAAAATTCTAGGAAGCCATTGAATGTAAGAGGAATAAGGAAGCCATTGAATGTAAGAGGAATAATCATGTCATGGTTACCTGAATATGCACAGATACTGAACACGCACAGATACAACAAGACATTTAATTACACTATAACAGTAACAACCGAAAAAAGCCCGCGAACCTGACATGCACGCACCAGACAAATAATTCAACTGATATAACCATTGAATACATCTAGGTATTACTGTTCATGTCAAGGGATCTAGATTGTACTACTATACGACAGGTTTGATTCCACATTCAAGCATGGCACATTGCATCAAATAGATCAGGAACATATTACCAAATGTCACCATATATACATTATTAGATCACCACCAATCATAACACAACCAGAGTCATAGGTTTTCACATCAACAGTTTAACACTAGCCAAAATAATACAATACCAAGTTCTAATGATGCCACGGAGATAGACAATAAAACCTCTAGCAATAGTAATTGCGGATACTTGGGCCATCAGGCCCCACCAACCTCCTCCACATAGATGGAGGCAGCATGGATGGCACGCAGGCCAGAACCATCAGCACAGCCCGGATACTTCTGGCGCTTACTGGGGATCATCTCCCACACCGGCTTCGGTGCAAACCCCTTGACATCCGAGCTAGCTCCCTTGACCTGGCCGTCACAGCTCCCACCCTCTTCCTTCACCTGCAGAGGGAAGGTCGGCTTCACAGGTACCGGTGGCAAGGTGATCACCTTTCCAGGTTCAGGAGTCAGCGAGATGATAGGCTTGGCTGGCTCTGGAGGCGGCGAGTAGCGGGCCGCAGGGAAGTTGGTAGGGGCGCTGGCACCGCGGAAGCGGATGTTCGCAGCGTCGTAGGCGTTGGCAGCCTCCTCAGCGGTGTTGAAGGTGCCGAGCCACAGTCGGCGGCGGCTGTGCGGGTCGCGGATCTCCGCAGCCCAGCGCCCCCACGGCCTCCGACGGACGCCACGGAACCGAACGGCCGAGCTTGCCCCGGCCGGTTCCATAACATGGCGCCTCACGCCGACGCTGCTGCTGCCACCCCTCGCCCTCCGCCGAGGAGGAGGCGGCGGCGGCGCCTCGTCCTCGCTGGAAGACGAATCGGTGGCGTCAGCATCGTGCACTAGGATCCGCACCACGCGCGCCCGCGGCCGTGGTTCAGAATCCGCCGCCGCCACCACCACAGCGGCCAGCTCTTGCAGGCGAGGGTTTGTACCCATGCCTTGGGAATCCGCTCAATCCATGGGGATATGGTTTAGGGGTTGGCTACGCTTAGCCTCCGCGCCCCTCCATGGGAGCGTGGGGTTGGAGGCGAGTGTAGGTGTTTTAGGGTTAGGGTTACACGAACTTGTGCGGCGGCGAGAGAGACCTGTGGTGGGGCTTGCGGTGGAAGCGGGAAGACGAAGGGGAATTGCGTTCATCGGGTGGGGACTAAAAGGAGAACGGGCTGAGGGGTAGTTTCGGGATTTTGCCGTTGGACTGTCGCCGCATCACTTCATCAGGTAGTTCAGGGCGAGGATATTCTCGGATTTTGGATCTGGTTAACGGATAGACTGCAATCTGTTTAGTTATTAGAATAAATATATATAACCTTTTGTCCAAAGAAATGTGGAGATCCATGTATGGTGTATTAGATGTACATATCATGTGCACAACTTTTTAGTCATCTGTTTTACTCTAGAGTTGCATGGCATAACTTTTTAGTGGCTTTAGAAAATGTCTAATTCGATGAAACTAGAGTTGTGATAGCTAAAAAAAAGAGAAGTGCAAACCAGTATACACATGACTCTTTGTGTTAGAGCAAAAGCACAACATGAAGGGATAGCACTACATTCATTCGGTCAAGTTAGACATGTAAAGCAGGTAAAAAAAATACAAGCACACACAAAAGGCTTCAAACCTGCCAAAAGTTATGCATCTAACCTACGTCCGAGTCTAACCGTTACTATGCCTTGTTCATTGCTTCCCATGCATTGCAAGGTGTAACGGGTATTGCTTGCTATGCATTGAAAGTATCAACCGTTGTTGTTTCGCACATGTTAAAAGGTGCAACATGATGAAATGGAGTCGTGGTAGCTAAAATAATCTAGACAAAATTGTCAAATAGCTATTCCAAATATGTCCATACATAAGTGAATACATGCTTTCTAATTGCAGTGGCTTGGAATATTTGACTGGCAAGAAATAGGAAAATCTTTGATGATTTTACAACTTCATGTTTAGCAATCAAAGATAACTTCATACAAATATTAAAGCTTTGGAAACATAGAAAGCCAAGAAAGAATCAAAGAGAGGGACTATCAAAGCATGGACACAAAAATGGGAATATGGAACTAGAATCTCAGGAGTACCAACGGATTTGAGGGGATCAAGATTGATATAGATTCTTTTTAATTTACATCTCTTAGTTTTTTTTCTTCTCTTTTTTTGATATATGTTTCCTTTCTCTTGTGCTCATTTTCTTACTTCTTTCCTCTGTAATTTTGTCTTTACATCTGCACCGCTTGCATTTCATTTTAATAAAAGTTAGGTCGGGGCCTTTCCTTCCGACTTCATCAAGAAAAATATCCATGCTTCGTCGGTCATACATTTTCATTTCTTCATACCAGTAGCATGCTTGCGCTAACGCTATGATAAAAACAAAAAGACAATATGTTTCTTGAAAATGAAGTAAATAGTGTGATAGATTAGTATTCATGCCAAAATAGATTGATGATGAGTTATCGTATTGTTGAGTCCATGCAAATATGCCTAAAGAGTATCATCGCAAATAACATCATAGCTATTATATCTTTTCTTTTGCGAATTACACGATACAGACACAGACGCTCACAACGCACGCACACTCACCCCTATGAACGAACGCACTCAAACCCTACCTCTATGAGCACCTCCAAAAGACTGTGCCTGCAGATCTTGAGATTGATGAAGTCAGCACAGGCGCCTCGCTGTCGACGGGAACGTCACCTACCACTGAAAGCACAACGCCGTTAAATCCTAGAATAAATCTAGGAAAATGCGAGCACCCATGCCAAGTCGATGACTTAAACCCAGCTAGGTAGGTTCCACCACAAGGAACCTAACCAATTAAGCTAGGCTCAGTTCGTAGTTATTATATCTTTTGAAGCCACCTAAATACTCACACACCTAAGAAGTTCTTGTATATCTTCAGGAATGTTGTCTTTAGATTCATTTTCCCTGTACTTCAACATCTATATCTAGGGTGATTTCAGTTCTGCAACATTGCCAACACTGACCTTTCCTTCCTCCCCCTCTATATCCATAGGGTGATTTCATCAGTATGCAGGCAAAGAGTGATAGCAATGTTAACTTCTTGACAAAAATGTTAATATTAATATAGAGCAAAGGATCTACGGAATTGACAACACTAACCTTTCCTTCCACCCCTTCTATATATATCCATGGTGATTTGAGTGCACAAATCTATGTATTAGCACTTGAACCCGGATAGGTAGATTCCACCACAAGGAACCCTAGTATGAGATCTATATAAAAAAGGGGAATAATTCAGCATGTGTCATGATAGTATGGCGCATTGTCTTACATTCAGCAAATTTATTATCCCTTTAGATCATGGGTTTAGTGAATATGCTACCAATAGCACACCTACACTCCAAATATTATTCAAAGAACAAACATAGAGTATTGGTTAGAGCTGAAGTGCCTTGCTTATAGTGTCAGATCACACAGCCGATGCACCCGTTTGTTTCGCTGAAATTTGGCTTATGCTGATTCGTTGTGAGAGAAAAACGTTGTTCCTTTGCTGGAAAGTACCGCTGAAGTAGCTCAAGCGAACAAGGATAACTGTAAGAAGCATGATCCATGTAACTCTTGCTCAAAAGAGGATAGTTCAAATAATTAGGACACATGATCTATTCAATTTATCAATCTTACGCTTAGTATTGACATGGCCAACTAACCGTGTCAAACAAATAAAATAGAGTTCATGAAACATGACTCTAAGAATCAGCATTAGGGAGGAAGGAGATGGAAGAAAAAAAATCTATACCGGGAGGAGATCCAGCAGGGCATGGCGAGGTGCTAACGTCGTGTGCTTTCCGGCAAATCCCAGTCTCACGGAATGGCAGCGGCGTGGATGGACGACGACACGGAATAACGGTGATGGAGCCTTGCTTTGCCGTTTTCCCATCTGCCACCCTTGCCTTGCATTGTCTTTCGCTCGGTTGCCGTTCGCGGATGCTGATCCTCTCGGATGGGTGCACAAATATGTGAGGAAGGGTTCCATGCATGTGTCTATCTTATCAAAATTTTCTGTTTTGCACTCTGAAGCACTTAGTGCTTTCGTACTGAAAACGTCTTCTATTGCCTTGTGAGACTTGTCCATCATTTCTTTCAAACGTTTTTTAGAGTGGAAACGTTAGGATTAGGGCGTCTGGACGATTATCTTTCCTTTGGACGCCTCATCTACCGCTAATTCCCACTTAAAAAAATCCCCACTCCCTGCTAATAAAAAATCCCTCCCTGCTCATTGGATGCTTGCATATCCTCCTGTCCCTGCTTGCTCCTTGCGTCGTTGCATCCACCCACACGTCTTCCTCGCCGTCGTGCTTTGCTCCTAGCAGATCCCCACTGAAAGGGACCGTGACACCTAAGAGAGGGTGAATTAGGCAACTTAAAAGTCTAACTCTAAACTATGGCCTCTTTTTCTATTCTTGGCAAAACCTATGCAAAAGATAAACTATCTAAATGTGCAACTGCGATTTTGCTAGTGTGTTGCTATCTCTACCGCAAAAAGAGTTATGCAAATAATGTAAATACGAAAGCTAAAGAGTAAGGTAGAGATATGTAAACTCCCGTCGACGACTCTGGTATTTTTACCGAGGTATCGAGAAGTGCACAAGCTTCCTACTAGTCCTCGTTGGAGCCCCTCGCAAGGGCCAAGCTCCCGATCTGGTAACTCCATGGATAGCCCCGGGCCTTCTCCACGCGCAAGTGGGTCTCCGATGTGCCTTCCAGCAAGCCTCTCCCGGACCGCTCCCCGCCGTCTTCACTATCAAGCTTTCGGCCGAACCACCGTGGGCCTTGTTCCCTTCAGTACACGGTGGTGGCCACACCACAAACGCGGTTGGTGTGATCTCGCCAGACTACAAGTCCCTCTGATGTACAACAATGGTGCATGCAAGCACCGAGTGATAAGAGGTATGCAAACCTCACTAAACATTAGGCCTAAACCTAGAGTAAGCTCATAAGCGGTGGTCTAATCAACCTAAGCTCTTCGCAAAGCACCTACGCTAATCACCTAATGAATCACTAAGCATTATACAAGTAGAGATAACTAAAATGGTGTATCAAAGCCCTTGGTATGTTTCCTCAGCTCTACTCTACTCAAATGGCTGGTTGGGGGGTCTATTTATAAGCCCCACTGAGAAAGTAGCCGTTGGGGACGAAACCTAGCTTTCTGCTACTGACCGGATGCTGATCACGTCCTGACGGGACGCGTTCGGTCGTCCCGACCATTGGAGCGCGCGCGTTGATTGAACTCGGCTTAGAGTCCGGTCATCATCGACCGAACGCGTCCGGTCACGCTGGCGCCGCTCTGGAACCCCTCTAGACTCGATCGGACGCTGCACTTCATGTGTCCGGTCGTCCAGTCTGCTGCGTTCGGTCACGCTGAAAACATTGCGTGATGATGAACAGTGTCACTAGTGCGTCCGGTCACAGCTTCGCTCAACGTCCGGTCACAGCTGCCGACGCCTGGTGTTGCCGAGAAATTGGTCGGACACGTACAGTCACTCATAGGGCCGCGTCCAGTCACCTCTACCAAGCTCGTTTCTTTGTGATCTTGCATCTGGCTTGGTTCCAATCTCCGTGCTTCGACTTTGCTTGATATCTTGGGTCTTCTCTTGTGCTTTTAGGGTCTTGCTTATGGTGTTGATTGTGGGATCATCATGTCGCCTTCATCCAAGTCACGTCTTGCACCCTATTAAACTACAAAACAATCACTTGCAAATTCATTAGTCCAATTTAGTTGTGTTGGTCATCAAACACCAAAATCCAAAGTAAATGGGCCTAGGATCCATTTTCCTTACAATCTCCCCCTTTTTGGTGATTGATGACAACACGACCAAAACAAGCAAATAATAAAAATTTTAGAATTTAAAAACTATTTACTTGTTAGGATGCAATGCAAAGGGCAAGGTTATATGATGCTAAATGATACCACATGTAAACATCTTTG